TCTACAATTATTTACACTGACTAAAATAAGTTTTGGTAATATTTACACAGGATATTTTAACGAAAAACAGTAATAATAATTAAATCGACCACCACGTTTGGAGTTCCCGCCAAAAGTCAGACAACGTGTGAGGTATAGAAATATAGAATCTTAGTACATTAATGCTTGAAAAACGCAATTATTATAATATTAAATTTAGATGAACCAAAAGAACATTTAAAGTCTATCAAACGTATAGTCTTTAGATTTTGTCGTATTATAATGTACTAGATCCATCTGTTGGCACGAGATGTCGCCTCTGTTGATGTAAGAAGATAAAATTAAAACGCTACGTGGTTATGAGATTCAACAACCTATTTGACTACATTTTTAAAATGGTCGCATTGAGTTGAGTGCAAATTCCTCCAATCTGACATACAGACATAAGTAATTATTGCGTTTTTGAGACTAAGATTCTTATATCACAGACTAGTAGATTCTACTCGACTTACTCTTACTCGACTTAGCCACAAACTATATAGAAACACTACGCGCTTAGCTTCTGTTGTTGTTGTTGTTTTTATTATTCGCTCGAGTGAGCAGGCAAAGGAACTATGCCATACAGCCTTGTCTTTTTTATTTTGAATATATAGAATTTCACAGCTTCACAATATGTTGATGCGTCACATTGTGCAGCCCTTGGGAGATTTTGACGGCAACTTGAGCCAGCAGACAGCTGACTGTTGGCGATGGTATCTAAAGGCGCCCATGCAAACAAACAGCTTATCTTGAGAATGCATCACCATCAGAGCACCCGTTTCACCGTTTTCACTAATAGTTCACATGCGTAGACAGTTACATATAATCAATACATAAAATCGCACCATTTTTACATATCAAATTCCACTTCAAACTATTATTTAAACTATAATACAGGAGCAGCAAACCGCCGCCGGTCAAGTTCCCGCCAAAACTCCTTAGCTTCTGCGTCCTGATTGGTTGTAGCAAAATGATATATGACATTTCATTTTTTTAATTTGATGCAGCTATACCACGCAAAGGTCGTCCCAAATAATAGCCACTTCAAAAATTAATTATATTATATTGAAAATAGAACGAGGTAAATGCAAATGAAACAATGTTGAAATTTACTATTTTTTTATTAGTTGTTAATATTTACTTTACAATAATTTTGTTTACAAATTTAATAATTAACTAATTAATATATACATTATTAAAAAACTATAATAACTTAATTATTATTATACAGTCTTCATTTTAACTTTACAATAATTTTGTTTACAAATTTAGAATTAATGGATAAGTATCAATATAAGATTCACCAGTTTCACCAGTTTCATTACTCACTTCCCTTTCATGTCCTTTAAACAGGCTCATTATTTTTAATAATTGTGCCCTAACATCATCTTGACAATTAAAAGATATTGCTGCCGAGCGCTCATTGGCGCGAGCGCGTGACATACCGATGTGGAAAATGAACACACTAGCTTGCATCAAAGTTTACGCTAGCGGTTAGTGTTGAAATAATAAAACCAATTATGAACAAAACATCTATATTCAAAATATTAATAAGACGTTTTTCTTGTCTCTAATAGTTGCCGTGTAATTTGTGCCGTGTAGTGGCGGTCAAGAATACCACTACCCCATATCCTCCCGTGGGTGTCGTAAAAGGCGACAAAGGGAAACAGGCAAGAGATGGGCAGCAGCATCTTCCTGATAATAGCCAAAATTACAATAAAAAAACTGCGGTTGCCAACCCGCTCGCCAAGCGTGGCAACTATGGCAAATACCCCCCCTATGAATGTAACAAAGAGACGGCCCCCAGTCCCCGGCGGCCCCGCTATTCCTGGCTACGGTGGCGACCATGGTAACGGCGGGGCAGGGGGTGCTAAGAATCTCCGGTGGAGGTTCGGTTGCCACCTTAGACGACTCGACCTGGCAACGTACAACGCACGCACCCTGAGGACTGACGAGAAGATCGTGGAGCTGGAAGAAGAGATAGACAAGTTGCGCTGGCATATTATAGGATTATCCGAAGTCCGAAGAGAGGGGGAGGACACGGCAAGGGGCCAGCAGCTGGCCGACTTCATGGAGAAAGAGGGACTCTTTATGATGAACTCTTTCTTCCAGAAGCGGCCCCACAGGAAGTGGACCTGGTCGAGCCCCGACGGTTCGACAAAAAATGAGATTGACTTCATTATGACGACCAGACGACAACTGCTCAGTGATGTCTCCGTGATCGCGAGGGTGAAAACTGATAGCGATCACCGAATGGTTAGAGGCACACTGAACCTAAACGTTAAGTTGGAGAGGTCTCGTCTAATGAAGTCAACGCTCCGTCCCCCTCGTGCTCTGTTCCAAAGTCCCGAAACCTTTCAGCTCGAGTTACAAAACTGTTTTCAGTGCCTAGAAGACTGCAATGAAGTGGACGATATGAATGACAAGCTCGTGGAAACTGTCCATGCGGTCGGAGCTAAGTTCTGCAAGACCCGCCGCAGAGGAACACAAAAACTCTCCGATCACACTCTTAATCTCATGGCTGTTAGACGGGAGATGAAGCTACATTCTTCAACAGACTTGACAGCATACAGGCATCTGAACAGACAGATCTCCAAATGCATGCGGCGGGACTTACGCAACTTCAATACAGCTCGTATTGAAGAAGCGATCGAGCGGAACCAAGGCTCCAAAGTCTTTGCCAGAGATCTGTCTGCCAGAAAGAGCCACCTGTTAAAGCTGAAGACAGAATGTGTGGCAGCATCGTTTCCGGGACACCTGAGATTTTGAGTGAGATTGAGAGGTTCTATGGGCAGCTGTACACGTCATCGTTGGAGCCACACGCAAGTGTGAGTAACGATCCAAGAGCGAGTCTCATCCGACACTATTCCGAAGATATCCCGGACGTCAGTCTGAGCGAGATTAGAATGGCTCTCCAGCACCTTAAAAACGGTAAGGCCCCAGGCGAGGATGGAATTACAGCAGAGCTTCTGAAAGCGGGTGGAAGACCGGTACTTGAAGTCCTTCAGAAGCTCTTTAATTCCGTCCTCCATGGTGGCATTACACCGGAGGCGTGGAGCAGAAGTGCGGTGGTCTTGTTCTTCAAGAAAGGTGACAACGCTCTCTTGAAGAACTACAGACCGATTTCCCTTCTGAGCCGCGTCTACGTGCTGTTTTCGAGAGTCATTACGAATCGTCTCGCGCGCAGACTTGACGACTTCCAGCCTCCCGAACAAGCCGGTTTCCGAAAGGGCTTTAGCACCATAGACCACATACATACCCTTCGGCAAATTGTACAGAAGTCCGAAGAGTACAATTTGCCACTATGTCTGGCGTATGTGGACTATGAGAAAGCCTTTGATTCCGGTGAAATTTGGGCGGTGCTGCAGTCCCTTCAGCGGTGCCAAGTTGACTGTCGGTATATCGAAGTGTTGAAGTGCTTGTACAGTAGGGCTACGATGGCTATCCGAGTACAGAACTCTGGTTCTGTACTCTGGTACGAAACCTATCCAATTGCAGAGAGGTGTAAGACAGGGTGACGTCATATCCCCGAAACTCTTCACCGCTGCATTGGAAGACGTTTTCAAGCTTCTGGACTGGAAAGGATACGGTATCAACATCAATGGCGAGTACATCACTCACCTTCGATTTGCCGACGATATAGTCCTTATGGCAGAATCGCTGGAGGACCTAAGCACTATGCTCAATGACCTCGATAGTGTTTACCGACGGATAGGTCTTAAGATGAACATGGACAAAACAAATATCATGTTCAATGTCCATGTCACACCTATGCCGGTAGTTGTTGGGAGCACTAAGCTCGAAGTTGTTGACGAGTATGTTTACCTGGGACAAATAGTCCGACTAGGTAAGTCCAACTTCGACCGAGACGTCAATCGACGGATTCAACTCGGCTGGGCAGCGTTCGGGAAACTACGACACATCTTCTCGTCAGACATACCTCAAAACCTGAAAACGAAATTGTACAACCAGTGCGTGTTGCCAGTGATGACTTATGGAACTGAGACGTGGTCCTTCACTGCTGGCCGTATGAGGAAGCTCAAGGTCGCTCAGCGAGCTATGGAGAGGGCTATGCTCGGAGTTTCTCTGCGTGATAAACTTAGGAATGAGGATATCCGCAGTAGAACCAGAGTAACCGACATAGCCCAACGGATTAGTAAGCTGAAGTGGCAGTGGGCCGGCTATATAGCTCGAAGAACCGACAACCGATGGGGAAGAAAGGTTCTCGAGTGGCAGCCTCGTACCGGTAGGCGAAGTGTAGGGCGTCCCCCCACGAGATGGAGTGACGACCTGGTAAGACATGCAGGAAGTCGATGGATGCAGGTGGCTCAGGACCGTGCTTTGTGGCATTCTTTGGGGGAGGCCTATGTTCAGCAGTGGACTTGTGAAGGGCTGTAATGAATGAAAAAAATAATTTGTGCACCACTTAAAAACATAGGAAGGCATTTTTGCCACGAATAACTGGAAGATTTACGCGCTGTAGCTAAGGTATAGTCGTGATGCGAGAGCGTGCCCGACTGAATGTGAGTCGGGCAATTACCTGACTTTCGTATTGCCATTTTAGAGCGGGCATGACGTATCTATACTTTTAAAAACAGGTCTCACCAACTACTGCAACAATTTCTTTTAAAATATTTTCGCTTCAATAGTAGATTTTGATCCTTCACTACATTAAAAGACAATCAAAAATTGTATCAACTACAAGAAAATGTAAAGATAGGGCGGAAATAAATCAACGCTACCACACGAAAATTTATGAGTAATATCATTCAGTGCTTAAGCCCGGTACACATGCAGCGAATTTAATCGACGGTGACTCGCTAGCGACTTATGACTTTTGTGTCTATATTATAGCGATTTATCAGTATTCGTTTCGCAGTAGAAGGCAGTAGACGCAAAGAGTATTATAATATATAGGGGAAAGTAGATGTGTATACCGGTGTCTGTTATTCACCTTTTTTATTTGTGAACGTTTCTTTGTAATGTCCGAAGAAAGGCGTCGAATGTTACTAGCGCTAGCAGCCGTTTGCATATATGACAAAGAGAGAGAAAAGAAAAATAGAAGATGTAGGGCGAAAAAATGGTTACTTCAAAGACCAAGATATTCGCATATAAATTTAATGGCCGAGCTAGCACTACAAGAACCGAACGATTTTAGAAACTATTTACGAATGGACTTTTGTACATATCAACAGTTGTTGTCTCTGTTGGAGCCAATGCTAAAAAAACAAGATACGTGCATGAGAAAAGCGATAACAGCTCATGAACGATTATCAGCTACATTGCGATTTCTAGCAACCGGACGATCTTATGAGGATTTACAATACAGCGTTGCAATATCTAAGCAATCTCTAAGCAAGATAATTCCAGAAACATGTGATGCGATCATAGCTACATTGCAAGAAGAATATTTAAAGGTAGGTTTAAAGGTGCTTTTTAGTAAAACTAAACTTTTCTGTTACGTATTTACTATGTGCTAACAGTTATACATTATGGTTGAAAATTATTAAAATACATCGTAAGCTTTTGAGATGTTTTAGAATTGAGCAATCGGGTTTCTGCAATTTCTAGTGACTGATTGTTCGTCTCCTGAGGAACATGAATTAATTGACCACTCACAGGATCTATCAAAAGGCTTTGTGAAAAAGTATCATCAGTAGTAGCATTTGAATTATGAGCACTTTGAACATTTTCATTTTTAGAAAGCAATTGTATATTAACATTATGATTTACATCAATACGACTTTGACGAGAGAGGGAATTCATTCGTGCTTCAAACAAAACGTCGTTAATTAATTTCTCCGCAAAAATTTGTTGATCATTTGGTAAACTCTTTAAAATACCAGCCCATGATTTTGCTGTATGTTCCCAGCGGTCTGTCGGAATAGGTTCGCTGAGATGAGCATTGATTTTACTAAGAATATCTTCTCTTGGTCTCTTCTTTTTTTATTACTATCACGAGATGCCGTAGTAGACACTGTTGAGGGTGCTGGTGATTGCGTTGACTCCGAAAATATATCAGAATCTACATCTTCATTTCTATTTATTCCTAATTCCTCATCGACACGTCCCTGAAATAAAATATAAATATAAATACCTATTTTGTTCTAGTTTCCTGAAACTGAAGAAGAATGGTTAGACATAGCAAAAACATTTGAAGAAAGGTGGCAGTTTCCTCATTGCTTAGGAGCTATAGACGGGAAACATGTAAAAATTGTGCCCCCAGCAAATAGTGGATCATAGTACTTTAACTATAAAAAGGATTTCAGCGTTGTTTTATTAGCAATAGCTAATGCAAATTACGAATTTATAATGGTAGATATAGGAATTAATGGCCGAATATCTGATGGTGGAGTAATAACTCCATTATTAGTCCAGTATTAATAAATAGAAGTATATTTTATGAGAAACTAAACACAGGATCCTTAAATATTCCTAGGGTAGCAAGAATAATGAATAGTGAAACTGTTTTGCCATACGTCTTCGTGGGGGATGATGCATTTTCTTTACGCCCAGATTTGATGAAACCTTACCCAGGTCCATACTTAAGTCCTCAACAAAGAATATTCAATTATAGACTATCAAGAGCCCGTCGCATTATTGAAAACGTTTTTGGTATTTTAGTCAATCGATTCCGAATATTCAAAACATCAATCAATTTAGATGTGAAAACCATTGACAAAATAGTAATGGCAGCATGTATATTGCATAACTTTTTACGTCGAAATTGTAATCAATATATCCGAGTGAGTGTGGATATTGAAAATTTAGAAGATGGCAACATAAGCACAGGTTACAGAGCCAACAACGAATTGTTAGATTTACAAATAACGAATCAAGGTCAAAGTCAAACCATGGCTAGATATGTTCGAGATCAATATATGCAATATTTCAATAATGAGGGTAGTGTTTTGTGGCAAAACCGTTTCACTAATTTAAATACCTTTACATAATGTTATTTGATAACAATATGAATAAACAAATATAGTATACGAGTCCTAAAGCATAAATTGTATTTTTATTTCGCATTATACCCGATCTTTGTTTCCTATTTTAATGTTAGTTATTGAACTTCTAGTCGTCTCTTGATCTTTCAAGAAGTTGAGTAAATCATAATACCATAATGATGGAGTAGGAATATCTTCCACAGCCATTCCGGATTTCAAGCTTTTTTCAATCTTTTCGTGTTGTCTTCGCCAAACATCCCTCATATTTTTAATTTTTTTTATCACAAAATCTCGATCAGCGTTTGGCTCCACCTCCTTAAATTTTCCCACTAATATCTCATAGCTTTGTGACTTTAAATCTCTGTTTGAGTAATCTTTACTCTTAACCATCCATAATGAAGGTAATTCCCGGTATAATTCTATAAATTCAGTTACAAAAGCCCGAGAATTTTTACGTAGGTCCGCCATTTTAAAATCGCTCACGCACGGCGTACACGTCCACACAGCAACGATGTCGCTGGCGACTGTTTGGCGACTGTCGACTTTTCAGATTTACAGCGATTCGATCGCCGCATTGACAGCGACTATAAATCGCTGCTAATATTCACGTCCACACACAGATTTTGACATCGCCAGCGAGTCGCTATCGATTAAAGTCGCTGCCGTGTGGACCCTTCTTTAGTGACAATGACAAAACAAAACAAACAAAAACAATATGGCTGCGACAGCTCGTTATGGTTACACCAGCACCACCCATAATACAGATAAAGCATCCATCAGCATAAATACATAAACGCTGAGTATGTAGTAATTTAAGTAGACTGTAAGCATAGGATTAAGTATTGTAAAAGACAATGGACAGATTAAATTCGCATCTCTCTCTGTGAACACGTAGTTTGTATTTAGTTTTAAAAAAGCTCTCGGCAGCTCCCGCAACTTGACTGGCGCAGCCGGTAGGATCACCGGAAAAGCTGTGCCCCCGTTCGTGAATTTCGCGTATGCAATTTTACCCATTTTCACGCATCGGCGGACAATCCATACAGCGTGGTGATCCAGCGAACCAAAACAAATTCGTCGAGAATAAGGAGCCGTGTAGCTGATGATGGGCACTGCGGGCTGGTGAGTACGACTCTTCACCTCCTTCATATCGCTTAGTAAACTTGGAATTAGACATTTTCCATTTTGACTGTTATTTGGGTTTCAAATACCAATCTTACGTAAATTTTATAAAGTATTAAGTGCAACAAATAACTACTACTTAAATAAAAATTAAAATAATATTAATTTAATTGTAAGACGTACATAATATTAAGTCACATATTACTCAATAAAGTTATAGAATATATTATATTATGTATTATACATTATATTAAGTTCTTATTGTGTATACATTTGTATGTTAATTTAAAGATTACTCGACACGTTAATACATAATAGATTAGTACTTATACTCGAATTTTCCTTACAACATTTGTGGAACTGGTAGAGTTATAATAAATATTTTATTTTATTTTTTTATTTTTGTGTAGAACCAGTGAATAAATTATTAAAAATGTCGGAAATTAAACTTATCCCTAATGAATTAACTAAAATAATACCAACATTTAGCGGCGATAAACACCATTTAAATTTATTTTTGCGTAAATGTGAATATATAATAAGTAACTTTAAATCATCCGATGTGCAAAATGAATATATAATGCAAATCATTACTAGTCGTCTTACGGGCGAGGCTACGTCGCTTATCAGTGAACGGGAAGATATAGAGACGTGGGCCGAATTCAAGGAATTGTTTTTAACTCACTTCGGCGACCCACGTAGCGAGGAATGTTTAGCCATAGAATTAGAAACTTTAAAGAAACACCAAAATGAAAATTATACAGATTTTTGTGGTCGTATACAATCCGTTAAATCAGTGTTATTATCGAAGGTTAATCAAATTGGTGATAAAAACTTAAAAATAAGTAAAACTATTATTTATAATAACACCGCTCTTCAGGTTTTCTTATATAATTTATCCGAAAATATGGTGCGCATTGTTAGGTTGAAAACACCCAGTACACTAGAAGAAGCACTAAGTATAGTTCTAGAAGAAGTAAACTTTGATGACCAATATCAGATGCGTAGTAAAATGTTACAGTCTAGCCATACGTCTAAGCCACAGTCTAGTAGTACACTAGTGCAACAACCATCGTTTAAGTTCGCAATGCCAACACAGCCTACAGGTTTTAGACCAATGTTAGCACCAAACCAACCCCCTAAGCAGAATTTCGGAACACCACCTCAATTTAAGTTTGGCATTCCCAATAGTAAACAAATGAGGATTCCGTTACCACAAAATAAGCCTCAACAGCAAATGAGTTTTCCTAAGCAATATCACCCACCTAATTTTGGATACCGACCAAACTTTGGATTTAGACCCCCGGACTATAGCCCCATGCAACCAATGTTACCACAACAGTTTGGTAATTCTCAGCGTTTTAATTATCCTAATAATAATAATGTGCATAACAAGCCGGTTTCTAATGATACTGATGTTTCTATGAGAACTGCCCCTCCAAAGCCTTTTCAACCAGGTTTCCGCCTAAACGAATTAGAAATTTGTACATCATACTATCCCTACGAATTTCCTCAAAATTACATGTATGAGGAAACATACGACAGTTATTATGGAAATGAATCCATACAAGAAAATTCTGTAATAGAGGCTGATGAAAACAATGATTCAGAGGATAATGACATGCCTGCACAGACTGAAAATTTTCAAGTAAAAGCCTCCGAAAACCACCTGAAATAACAGAATTGAATTGCGACATAAATCCAAAGCTACCATACATATATATACCTAATTTCTTTTAAGTTTTTCAAGTTTTTCTTTTTAAGTTCTTTTATAAGCCCCGATAAAGCACATCAATACTACCGTAATTATATAACAACTGAACCCTTTAAAGTTATAAGCACTCATGCATCTATCAAACACAATCAGGTAATTAAAATTCCACTATTTTCTATATTTCAAAATAATGGCGAACATAAATTTTATCTTTATAATGTCGATTCACGTTATGATGGGTTAATTGGGAATGATTTATTAAAGCAGTTGGAAGCTGTAATAGATTTAAAGAAACAAGTACTTACCACAAATTATTCTAAAATACCTATAATACACAATAGCTTAGAATATGCTGTAATACTTTCACCTCGTTCTGAAGTTAGAGCAAAATTACCTGCTAACATGTTTTATGGTGAAGGAATATTAAATTATACCCGATTCTGTGATGGAGTGCGCATGCCTTCTGCATTGGTAAAATGTGAGAATGGCTATGCCACTACAATTATACAAAATACGTGAATGAATTTCAAAATATGAACACACAAGTAAATTATTTAAGTAACTTTGCTGTAGAAAAGTTTAAACAACTCATACTTTAGATACGTTTCAAGCGCGGTCTTATTAATCCTTTAGATTCTGTTATCAAAGCGCTTACAGGAAACTTAGACCACAATGATGCAGTAAAATACGACAATCTCATATCTCAATTAAAGACCCAGCAAACGCACACTAATAAGAAAATAACAATAATCTCGGAGATGCTTGACTCTCTTATAAATAGTACTGGACCTCTACAGAAAACTATGAACATTGTAAATGAATGAATATGTGAAATGAACTAAAGATAATAACAGCATATACTCCACATATGTTTGAAATATGTTTAAAATGTTTGTCAATAAGTTTAGAACTATATACTTAATTTTAAGCGAAATAGAAACGAAATTAGCATTTACTACACTTCACGTTCTACATCAACCCATTGTTAATTCCACCGAATTACTAGTAATATTAGAATCTATATCTCAAACAAACAGTTTATTGTATCCTATTACTGAAAACAATTTAGTTAATTTAGAAAGATCTATGTCTGTTAAGGCCTATGTAAAAGAAAACCAAATAACGTTCATTATGGAAATCCCTCTGACTGATAATATTACATACAGTTATTTTAAAATATATGCTTTACCTATGTTTGATCCCACCTATAATAGAACAACTGTTATTTTTCCCAAATATCCTTACCTCATGGTGAAAGGTCACACGTACTTACCCTTAAATGGCCAATGTCAGGAGATAGCAGCAAACCAGTTCCTATGTGAAGAAATTGATATCATGCAGTATCCTGAAAACACATGCATCGAACAACTTATGAGCTTCGCATCAAATCTAAGCCTTTGTAAATTATCAATAGTAGAGCTGGAAAGTGTTAAGATACAGTCTATTGGTCCTATTAACTGGATCCTATTTACACAAAATGAAATAGTGCTTACAAAAACGTGGGGCGATGACATTCAAAGAAATGATGTAATGGGCACTTACCTATTGGAAATCGATGAAAACTGTGAGATAAAAATAAGCAATATTAAATTACACCGGAAACGATACTATTCAGGAAAACTGCAATATAAGGTGTCAACCTATTTTAACTCTACCAAAATTTATAGAGCAGCCTACAAATACGAAGAAAACAGTGAATTTAAATCGCGTTAATTTGGATGAACTGAAATATCTCTCGTACAAGCTGAAAAGTGAAATAGTGGAAAGTCAAAGTGAAAGCTGAAAAGTGAATAAGAAAAGTGTTAGTTTAGCTACGGTACTACTCTATGTTATATTAGTCTTAATTAGTCTTATTGTTGTAATTTGGAAAAATAAGTCTAAGCTCTTACACTGTATGCAAAATTATCGGAATCCAAATCTTGCCGATAACTTTGCAGTTGAGGAGGGCGGCGTTATGGTTACACCAGCACCACCCATAATATAGATAAAGCATCCATCAGCATAAATACATAAACGCTGAGTATGTAGTAATTTAAGTAGACTGTAAGCATAGGATTAAGTATTGTAAAAGACAATGGACAGATTAAATTCGCATCTCTCTCTGTGAACACGTAGTTTGTATTTAGTTTTAAAAAAGCTCTCGGCAGCTCCCGCAACTTGACTGGCGCAGCCGGTAGGATCACCGGAAAAGCTGTGCCCCCGTTCGTGAATTTCGCGTATGCAATTTTACCCATTTTCACGCATCGGCGGACAATCCATACAGCGTGGTGATCCAGCGAACCAAAACAAATTCGTCGAGAATAAGGAGCCGTGTAGCTGATGATGGGCACTGCGGGCTGGTGAGTACGACTCTTCACCTCCTTCATATCGCTTAGTAAACTTGGAATTAGACATTTTCCATTTTGACTGTTATTTGGGTTTCAAATACCAATCTTACGTAAATTTTATAAAGTATTAAGTGCAACAAATAACTACTACTTAAATAAAAATTAAAATAATATTAATTTAATTGTAAGACGTACATAATATTAAGTCACATATTACTCAATAAAGTTATAGAATATATTATATTATGTATTATACATTATATTAAGTTCTTATTGTGTATACATTTGTATGTTAATTTAAAGATTAC